CGTGGCGGTCGACGAGGAGGGGGCGGGGCAGGGAGGGCCGCGGAGAGGGGAGGAGACAGAAATCCCCTTCTGCGCAACCGAGCGCGACTGTGTGAGAGCCATTTTGTTGTCTGTGTATATGCATGTGTGCATACGCGTGTGCGAGTATATACGCGTGCACGAGCGCGAGTGACACAGGAGCAGGGATTCTCCGCGCGTGGCGCCGGCGTGTACGAACGCATGTTGATAAATAAATAATGACCGCCTCGCTACGATAACGAATCGTATCTCCAATGGATCCTCCTATATACATGTTTCAGTAAAATCGTAAAATTTCATATGTACTATTAATTATACTCGTTAAACGTTTACTGCATCTTCTTGCAAATATGCACTATGCAATCGCTGTATTTTGTAACACCCCGTAAACTGTATATTTTACTATTACTGGAAGTAGCTTTTCTGATTGCTATCTGTAATTACGGATTCGTGTAATGCCACAAATTCGCGGGGTTATATAATTCTTTCCGATAAGCAGAATGAAAGTGTATTTTTTACTGTCACCCGGAGATTGAAATTCAACTTTTCTGTAAATTGAGGAAGTTACTTGATGTATAGTGTGGAACATGGCGGATTGTTTTGGAGAAAATAGCGGTGCTGTGGAATGTACTGCTAAGACAATTTCTGGTTTAACAATTTGGTACTTTGAAAGTGTGAAAATTTAGAAATGTGAAAATTGAAGTTTGAAATAAAAATTGAAATTGAAATTTGTGTAGAGACTTAAAAATGTAGAAACTTAAAACATGTTTAAATTAAATTACAGAATAATTGAGTTGTACAAGCATAGAAATTAAAAAAGTATATGGATTTCGCGATTAGAAAATTTTATGCTGTAATGCTTGGAATTTTTACGAAGTCAGAAAAATTTAGAAACGCAAAAGGTTGGAAAAGAAAGTGAATAAGAAAATTTCAACCGTCTTTATGGTAAAGCCATATTGAAAAATGAAAGAAGGGTAGAGTATAATCAAAAACGTTTAACATATCTGTCAGTAGAACATTTTTGTCATCGCAGCAGTATGACGAGTTTATTCGAAAGGTATTTGCGTGTGCAACTGAATGAAAAGTCTTTTATGAAGTCTTTCGCAGTCGCATGCGAAGAAACTATGTGCAACTGAATACCGATTCATCTCCCACGCAGCAGGGTACAAGAAGCCCAGGAAATGAAAGGCGGTTGTCACGTGTGTACACACCCCGCCAAATTATGCGGAAAAAAGAAAGAAACACGTAGGCTTATCTTTAACGTAAAAATGTCAGTCACCGCCCTCGGTGTTACATTCATAACCGGGTATAATGTCGAGAGACACCTCTCGAGATTAGAGAACAACAGTGATTCTCAGTTCAACATTACGATCTACATATTACGCTTTATCTATCGATTTCTTGCTGCCTTTATGCACTCTATGTCGAAACCAATGAACAGAAGATCAATATCGGTTAATTTGCAACGTCGTAATACGGTTGGATTTGATTGAAAACGTATTACTGGTTGTGGAAGGGCATCTGAGTCACTGGTTAAATTAAAGATATTTCCTGTAATTAATTTTGTAGTAGAATAGCTTATGAGGACTTTTTAAACTTTTTATAGAATAATACTTTTGAAAAATATAATCTTTTGCAATGGGTACAATTTTGTTATTTTTTGAAGTTCTAATGTTACAAAACTAGAAATTGAAAAATTTGTAAGATTCGCGGACTTGAAGGTTCAAGGGTGATTTTTGAGAATACAAATTTAAAAATTGCAACTGTTCGTATTCTAATATCATAAAATTTGTAAACTTCCAAATTTAAAAATTCCAAATTCTTAACATTTACAAATTTTTAAAATAAAAATTCTCCTAAGCCTTTAATTCCCAAATACTTAAATTTTCAAAATTAAAAATTTCCAAACCTGCAAAGTCCTGAATCTCCATAATTTAAAATTTTGAAAATTCCAAAACTGCAAAGTTCTGAATCTCCATAATTTAAAAATTCCAAAATTCCAAACCTGCAAAATTCTAAATCTCCAAAATTTCAAAATTCCAAAATTACAAAGTCTCAAATTCTCATAATCTCAAAATCCCAAAACTTCAAAATTGCAAAATTCTGTCTCCCAAAAATTTCACACCACAAATGTCCCAAATCCTAAAAATTCCAAAACCACACAATTCTAAAACCCCAGAGCCCTAAAATCCTCAAAGTTCCAATTTCCCAAAATTACAAAAGTCGCAAAGACAAAAGATGTCAAAGCTACAAAGTCCTCGGGTGAAAATAATTCTACAGAAAGGCGCTTTCGCTCGGTTCCGAAGCGAAAGCCTTATTTACTTTGGACAACCATTCTGCTGGCTGCATTTTTTCCTGAAAAGCGGTATTCAGAGGGACTTTCGGGTGGGTCAAGATTCCGAGAATCGATCATTCGTTTCAGGCTGAAAAAGTTTGGAACAATGCTACCAACCACGATGAACGTGAAAGTACGGACAATGCATCGTTAATACCTTTTACTGTTACATGTAAACCTGCTCGTAACATCAAAACGATCGTTCGAATAATATTAATTTTGATGTGGTTTTCTTAAGTAACACTGTTAGATCATCGTCTTTCGAAGATTCCTCTCTTACATAATGTACAATTTGGTTAAAAAATGTTCGAGTAACGTCGAATATTACTTTGATTGAAGACTTCATTTTCGTTAGTTGAATTTTTAAATACAAAATAAATTTCATATTATTAAATACATAATGAATTTCAAATATTTCTACATGTAGATAATTGAACGTCTATATTAATCTTCTGGAAAAAAAAATAAATATTTTGTATATAAGTAAATAATTAATATACATAAATATTTTGTGCAAGTAATTATTGACTTAAATTATTAATTAAAAAATTTAAGCTGTCTTCATATATGTATGTTTGTACGAATTAATAAAGTACAGAATGCATATTTCAACCTAGCCTTTAAAATGAATAAGTTTAAATATTTATTCATATTTGATCATTTTTTTTTATTATAAAAGATTGATCAATTTCGTAATGAGACACTAAAAACGTACGCTTATGATTTTTGTACAGTTCAAACGATATCGTTGCAAGTTTGAATTACATAAAAAATATAATGTTATTTAAAGTTAAATTACATAAAAATTATAATATAACTTTATACACAGTCGAATTATATAAAAGTACGTAATATATAATATTTACACACAGTTAAATTATATAACAAAATTAAGCCACGCTTTCCTGTATAAACATAATATTCCCAATATGTCTGAACTCCACAAATAAACTTCGTGTACTTGCCATATGTTATATCCGTACCCTATTCAAAATGAGCCCAGAATATTAGTACAAAGATTAAAGTATAACATCCTCCTCCGTTCAAATCCAGAAAACGATTTCGCGCAAAGTCGCATGATAGAAGTCGCTAAATTTGAACCGGAACATACGCGCGGTTTATTTATAATATCGAGATATATTTCTTCTGAATAATCGATGCAAATATTCTCCGTGACGATTTCGAATAATCCGATAGAAGCCTTGGAATCATTGGTGTACATATAAGAGCATCGGAAGAAAGATGAGCTGATTTAATAGAAATGAATTGCTTTACTCTGATTCACGACCGATGATCTATCGTGATAGGTATCGGATCAAACTTGAAACAATTCCAGACGAATGTCTTTAATCAATGCAATGAACGAATGGAACACCGGGGAACAGATATTCGATAAATTAAATGATGACAGGATAATAACGTCTGATAACGTGTCGACGTATGGTCAAATGAACGATGAAACGGATTATCCACTTTTGTGACAATGAAACATAGTTACATTGTTAGTCATGAGACTATTTTTAGTTAATGATTTGTACTCTAAGAGTATGATTTTTAAAGTTATGTGGTTTATATTTGGTTAGAGTATTAGAGTATCGTTTGGTTCAGGTGAGTAGTTGTTTTTAATGATGTACTGATGGTAAACCATGAGTTGGCGCAGGAGGTACAAAGGAAAGGATGGTATATGAATACTGTGAACACTTAGGGCGTTATATTTGGGCAAATAGGAGTAATAATTACGATAATGATTGCTGAACGTAAGTAGCAATTTTTTTTATCACTTGAGAGATGTTTGCAGACTTTTATCTACTGAATTTGCAATCTTTCGAATTTGAAATCGCCCGAATTTGCAAGCTTCTGAATTTGAATCGCCCGAATTTGCAAGCTTTCGAATTTGCAATCTTTTGAATTTGGAATCTTTC